ATCTTTAATCTCATTTAATCCTCACAACCCTTCATTGTTGGCATTATTATCATAATCTTAGAGAATGAAGAATCTTAAGCAAGATGATAATAGTGACATTTTATACCTGTGTGTGGCATTTTATATCATAATTCTCAATTGTTATATGATATTTGGAGGTTTAGTTATTAAGAGAGAGAAACTGGGTATCATAATTTAATCCCACTGTTACAGAGCTGAGAGTAGAAAGAAAATTCTACAGGATCCCTCAACTTTCTGTGCTTATTGACCATGGGAAATGTAGTTAATGAAAATAATAGATCACTTAGCTATAGAGAATGCATTCAGTCGGACCAATGTATAGTAATGCTCACATACAAATGATGCTAGCTATCCATGTGCAAAAAAACTTAACCTTGGCTCATACCTGCTATCACTTATAAAGGCCATTTGAAATTGATCACAGACTTAATTACTAAGCCTAAAACTATAAATCTGTGGAAGAAAACATGGGAGAAATTTTTGAGTGGGTGGGCTTGAGTTAAGCAAAAATTTCTTAGATAAACCAAAAGAATGATCTACAAAAGAACATAATTGATAAATTAGGATTTATAAAAATTGAAAACTTCTGCTATTTCAAAGACTATTTAAAATTAAAAAAGAAACTACAGATGTTGAGAAAATATTTGCCAAACGTGACAAAGAAATTATATCCAGAATACCTAAAGAAATCTCAGCATTCAATAATAAAAAATAAACAACCCAATTTTTAAAATGGGCAAGCGATTTGGACATTCTCCTCACAAAAGAAAGCAAACAGACGGCAAATAAGCACATGGAACGATGGTCAGCATCACTAACCACTTAGGAAATGTCAATTAAAATCACAGTGTGATGTCTATTGAAATAGTTTAAAAAAATAAACAGCTGATAATACTAAGTGTTGACAAGGATAAGGAGCGATTGAGAGGTTCATACACTGCTGATAGGAATGCAAAATTGAATAGTTGCTTTAGAAAACATCTCAGCAGTTTTAAATAAAATGTACAGTATGCGTATGACCAGCAATCCCGTTAATAAGTCTTTATCCAAGACATGAAAACTTATTTTTATGGAACAAAAATTTGATAAAATTCACCTGTATGTGAATATTATAATGGCAGCCCCTGTTGATATATTGTCTCAGCCATTTTTGAATAATTGTCACAAATTTTTATTTGCACGTGATACTAATGATAATACCTTGATAATTTCTGCATTCTGTTAGGTCAACAATAGGAATGGGCACAAATATGGATCTCTTCCATTCAAGTCACTTGGCCATATAGCTGTTTTCCAAATTTTTTGACATAGACAAGTGAGCACTTCAAGTATTGTATGTGTTTGTTGAAACATCTGTTTTGGTATTCTGTTAGTTCTTGAAGCCTTGACCAATTCCTTCAGTGCTACTTGAACTTCTTCCTTCAATATTATTGGTTCTTGATTATATACTACTTCCTGAAGTAGTTGAAAGTTGACCAATTCCTTTTAGTACAGTGTATTCCTTCCATGTATTTTGATGCTTCCTGCATCATTCAATTTTTTTTCCCCTTTAGAATCATTCAGTATTGTAACTTGAGGCTTGAAATTTTTTTATTCTTCAGTTCTTTCAGCTGGGGAAATGCCAACCTTGTTCTTCTGTTTTAGTTTTCTAATTCCGCGAGACATTTTTTCCCAAGTTGTCCTTTGAAATCTTCTGTTCAGCTCTTTTATTTCATCATATCTTCCATTTGCTGTAGTTACTTTGTTTCAAATCCTAGAATTATAGCATACCTTTCCATTATTTCTGTGTATTTTTTCCAAACCTTTATTTGACTGAAAATGTGCTGATCAGCAGATCTGATAATTACTGTAAATCGGCGCAATTTTAAGATTATGTAAGGTCTTGGCCTTGACAACTGTGTAAACTAGGTTTTTGTAGTTGTAAGAAGTTTAAGTTTTTAAGAAAACCTTAAGAAAAGACACGCAAACATTAAAATAACCTTTACTTTTTATAAGTATGCATTTGTATTATGTTATAAATATTTGATAACTTCACAGAATCCATCTGTGTAATAGTCAATTGCATCTCATCACATATGAATTATACCTCAGTAAAGTTGATTTTTCATATGCTTAGATTGTTAGTGAAAATTTTCTGTTCAATGAAAATTTTTTGAGGCTATAGTATTTATATGTTACTATTATATTCAAGACATAATAATCTATTATAATGTATATGTATAGTATGTATATGTTACTATTATATTCAAGACATTGTGTAGGCTCTCTGTATACAAAGATGAAAGCAAAACAAATTAAAGAAGCCTTGCTTCCAAGGAGCTGTTTTGCAGAAGCAGTAGACAACACATGTTGTGAATGGTGTTATACTACAGGCATGTAGGAAGATGTAGGATTATCCAGGATGAATGAGATCCCTACTTTTGTTCGTTGCCTTTTTTATTCTTTTGTTCTTTGTTGTGGCTATTCCCAGTTGTTTGCATTTCCAGGTCAATTTTAGAATTAGTTTACTTCTACAACATGAAGAAATTTAGTAGATAGGAACTGGAAACACAGGGAATCCAGGGCGGTTAATTCCTTCAGGACCCGTGTTGTGAGTGGTGATACTGGGAGGGTGGAGGGAGAGTGGGTTGGAAAGAGGGAACCGATGACAAGGATCTACATGTGACTTCCTCCCTGGGGGACGGACAACAGAAAAGTGGGTGAAGGGAGATGTCGGACAGGGCAAGATATGACAAAATAATAATTTATAAATTATCAAGGGTTCATGAAGGAGCGGGGAGCGGGGAAGGAGGGGAAAAAATGAGGAGCTGATGCCAGGGGCTTAAGTGGAGAGCAAATGTTTTGAGAATGATGAGGTCAATGAATGTACAAATGTGCTTTACACAATTGATGTATGTATGGATTGTGATAAGAGTTGTATGAGCCCCTAATAAAACAATTAAAAAAAAGAAATTTAGTAGAATTTTGATTGTAATTTCCTTGAATCTGTAGATCAATTTGGAGAGAATTGAAATCTTAACAATACTGAATCTTCTGATCCATAAATACAGTATATTTTCTCATTTACTGAGAACTTACATCATGTGGCTTTCCGTATACAAATTCTTTGCTCCTGAGTTTTTGAATTTTATTCATGCTTTCGGTGCTGTTAGTTGCCTTGGAGCCGAGTCTGACTTATGGCAACCCTCTGTGTGTGAAGACTGGTTTTCTAAGGCAGTGACCTTTCGGAAACAGATTTTGGGGCCTGTCTTCTGCGATGTCTCTGGGTGGGCTCCAACTTGCATCCGTTTCAGCCATCTGTTGAATACTTCACCATTTACACCACCCAGGGACTCCATGTACTCATCACCTAAGACTTTCAATTAAAGGTTTGTGTTTGTTTTAGAGAAAGGGAAAATCTGCCTGGGTCTGGCTTTTCAAAATCTAATGTGACAATCTTTCCCTTTTCATTAGAATTTGTGTGTCATGTCCAATTAATGTAATTACTGATGGGATTGAATTTTAATCTACTAAATAGAAACTCAAGGAGCTCTGGTGGCTTGTTAGTTACCCGGCTCAGAGTTTATATTTATAGCTTAATTTAGCACCAGAATTTGTAGTCCTCTGGTTTAGAGGTCCAGACCTAATAACCTTAATACATATAAAGTAGAATTTTCTATGTACTATTTGATGACAATGTGATCAGATTATTCACTTTATTTAGTTATTATCACAAAAATCCTCATTTGTAAAGAAAATGGATTATGAGTTAGGCTGTTCCTTGGGAAAAAGATGAGGCTGCCTACTCCTTTGAAGATTCAATCTTGGGAAAGAAGCCCACAGGGCCAGGTCTGCTTTGCTATATAAGGTTGCTGTGAGTCAGAATCAGCTCTATGGCAGTGAGTTTGGTTTTGAGAGTTTAAAGATTTACAGCCTCCGAAATCCAAAGGAGTAGTTAGTTCCACTCAGTATCATAGGATTATTATGTGTCAGAATTGAGTTAATGTCGCTATTCATTTTATCTGTCCCAATTACTCTTCTTTCTTAGTTTTTTTCCTGATTTTGATAGGATTGTTTTCATTTCTGTGATACCTCCGTTATTACTTATTCATTATGTAGATGTGTTAGTGATTGGTTTCGGTTTATAATACTCTTTTGTAACATAGCAAATAGCAATGACTCTTGAAATCACACCATTTTGTGTATAGTAGAACAAAGTTCCTTTGAGCCAGCGCTTGTGTGATTATTGTCATACATCATACCTGAACTTTCAAGTCTCTGAGCTTGCATTTTTGTTTTTTTGTATTTTAAGGTGCCCCTCCCCTTTCTTTAGCCTTATATGTAATACATGGCAGTCTGTGATCACATGCCTTTTGATCTGTACCTTCTTCAGTTGATAGTGCTCCTCTTCCTGGCGGCTCTGCTCCGCCCCTAATCCCAGACGGCTACTCCTGATATTCCGTAGAAAGTTCAGGGTCAGGTGGCTTTTGCTTCTGCCCCATCTCCAGAAGCATGAGATTTTTGTCAGGGCCCTGAGGGTTAGCACTCTTTTTAATGACTTGTTTTTTCAGCCTATTTTCTGATGTATGTTCATTGCATTCTGATGTAATGCATTCACACATGTAAGCAATTTATATATTAATGTACACATATTTGGAGTGTGTTCTTGACAGTTATACTGATCAGAGTCTGTATTTAAAGTAAGCAGAGTTTAGAGGGTCAGACCTAATAACCTTAATAGATTTGAAGTGGAATTTGCTTTGTACTATTGAATAACAGCATGATTCAGATATATATTTGTTTTATATAATTATTGCCACAAGAATCTCATTTCTAAATAAAAATGTTTTATAATGCTTGTTTTGTTTTATTTTAAATAGGAACTCGATTTAAACACTTAAGATGTGAGGTAGTCTTTATGGACTGCCCCCTTCCTCCCCCTCCCACCTCCCCATTTCCTTTTTTTTTTTGTAAATGAAAAATCTTTTGATTCTTTTTAGTACTGTGAGGACATGGGAAGTTGAGAATCCAAAGAAGCAAAAAAGTGTATTTAAACCACGGACGATGCAAGGCAAAAAAGTAATTCCCACCACCTGCACGTATAGTAGAGATGGAAACCTCATTGCAGCTGCTTGCCAGAATGGAAGCATACAGATGTGGGACCGAAATTTGACTGTAAGTCAGAGACATTTAAGTCTTCTTTCCTCATATGGACCAAAATGTTAAAATATTATGAAGGTCAATTTCCTGGTTTAGACTTAAACTTCAGTTGATCAAACATTGGGACTTGTGCAATAAACAGCATTTCAACAAATATTCCATTTCAGTATTTTCCAGCCTATAAGATCTGGAGTTTTTAAAATAAATGAGATTGTCTGGCTTAAAAATTTTAAGTGCATAGTGTAGTTTATAGTGTGGTGGTCTCAATTTGCTTGCTTTTTGGAAGTGAAGGATTTGACAGTAGTATAAAACAAAATGCAGCACAGAACTAGAAAATTCCCTTTAAAGTTCTTAGGAAAACTGTGAGATAGCTGTGTGATCCATTACTTGTTTTATAATGACTTCTTTAGTAATTTAAGTAATATTTAATATTCTATGGCATTCCATTTGAATAGGTTTCAGATTTTTTTTTACAATTTTAGAACATTACAAGAATAAATAAATATGTTGTAAAATTGGAATTAGCGGGGACCAAAAAATTCTGTAACTGTAGAAAAAATATAAAACCTTTGAGTAATTCTGTGAATTACCAATTACGAAGAGCCTTAAAAAACAAGAAAGCAAAGCCTTTGTTGTATACATTAATGGTAAAACAAGAATTCTTGATATAAGCGAATTATTCTAATTATCAATTATATAATGACAATGTGCTTTAATGTTAAACACAGTCTGAACTTCATTGTTTTGTTTTAAGTCAGGTCAAGTTATTCAACAAATAATTATTGATTAGTTACTATGTGCCAGGGACTACTGCAGGCACATGGAATACTGCAAGCTATAAGCACTCCCTGCCCCAATAGAGATTTTATTCTACTTAAAAAACCAAGAACAAAGCAAAAAAAAAAAAAACCCACCCAACTTCTGCCCAGCTTAGTGTTTACATGTTGGAAGAGACCCCAGTTATCATACTGCACTTTTGCATATGGTACAGTAATGCCACTAAATGTGTGCACACCTAAGAGCATCACCCAGTTTGTAAAAAATGTAATATGCTTGTGTTGGTTGCATAAAATATGGTGGTGGTCTTTTCAGGCAGATAAGTGAAAATCAGTTGTTTAGAATAAGGTAGAACGTAATGATGAGGGGAAAACTTCTTGTTGATAACGCTGGAAAAACCTTTGGCATTTTTTGTTTGTCAGCTCTTTTACTTCGGTTTTCATTGTCCTATAAACCCCATGAAGCTTCATAATGGCAAAAAGATTTTAAAATTTCTTTGAATTGTAAACTGAGTTTTAACCAAGTAATAAGTTTTTAGTGAGGGTTTATGTGCTTTTCTCTTAGTACCATATAGTTTTGTAAAGTTGTGTATAGCTTTTAAAGATCTCCCTTGCGTACCTCTTGAAATAATGAATATCTTCACTTTCAGTATAGTCTACATCTAAACCATTTGAGTGCCAGTTTCCTAAAAGACACTCTTAAGACATTTTGCTAAACGTAGTCTTTGATTCTGTTTCGTTGAAGTTTAATAATACTTGGACATATGTACAATTTATTATACCACATCTCATTTACAACATTTCATTCATACTTTTGCATTTATATTATAAGGGTCTCAAGCGAAGACAAATCAAATTGAGGACAAAGTTGATAGCAGGAAACAACTTCATTTAAAAACATTAAAAAAACAAAAACACTTAACAATTTCATCAACAGTAGTAAATCTCCCAAAGGGAAACACTAAAGCTAAGTAAGAAAATAGTAAGAATTTTTCCATGCAGTAGCCAAAGAATTATAGGCTTGATAATGGCTAGTAGATATGCTTTGTGACAATAATTAAAGCTGCTAAACTTGTCACATTTAATCATAGAATTTACAACTTCAACTTTAGGAATTAAGTGAAACATTTTTTTTTCCCTTGTCGCTCCTCCTCTATCCATAGAGACTCCCACTGGATGTCTGAAACCTCCCAATGGACGTCTGAAACCATCGATAGCACTGAACCTGATCTATACCATTTTATTTTTTAGACATACCCTTGATAAAGTTTCATGGATAAGTTAGTCACACTTAAGAGACAGCAATGACGAATGACAAAACAGATATTCAGTACAATATGGACTGCTTGAATGCAAACTGTGTGATACCATGACAGTCAATCTGATCACCGAGATGGCTGCCAAGTGGCTATTGGACAGGTAGCAGATACAGCATGGAGACTCTGGACACCAGGATGATTCCTGTCCCATTGGGATGGAACAGGACAGTGTGTGATTGCATTGTGACACTCTGATCAATGCACAGTTGAAATGTATGAATTGCTTATGTCTGGAATTTTCCATTTCATGCTTTTGGACCAAAGTTGAACATGGCTAATTGCAACCACAGAAAGTGAAAGCACAACTAAGGAGGCAACTACTGAATCGATGACTCCTGGTGTCCTGAGACCTACTTTTACTGTAGAGGTATTTTGGCCAGTTGGTAGCCACTCATCACATTTGCCTATTTCAATTTATATTACCCAAAATACCATAAAAATGTAAGTTTCTGGTCACAGGAGGCACTTTTTTTAAGTGTCCAGAATCCATGTGTGGTTAATAATTACGTTATTGGGCAGAACAGGTACAGAACGTTTCTATAACTGCAGAGAGTTCTGTTGCACAGTTCTGATCAAGAAAAATGATTTTAGGCCCAAGGACCCCTCAGTGATTTGACAGTGGCACAAACTGGTAAACTGAGGGATGATAGGATAGTGGGACATGTCATCAGATGTAGCATGCACTCAGGGTCCTTGCACAGTGTGTCACATTTATTTTGTGCATTTTATTAGGAGAGACGGGTCCTTGGAAGTCAGGCTTGACAAAGTGGAGGCGGAGGATGGGGGTTGCAAAAATCACAACAAAAACCTGAGCACACTGTCATCAAGTTGATTCCAGTTCACAGCAACCCTATAGAACAGAGTATAACTGTCACCTGTGGGTTTCCTGAGACTGTAATCTTTATGGGGCCAGTAGGGGTGGATAAGAAAGCCTCATCTTTCTCCCTTGGAGTGGTGGGTAATTTCAAACTGCTGACTTTGTGGCTAGCAGCCCAGGGTGTTACTTGGCTATGTCATCAGGGCTCCTACAATTTATGATAAAATGCACATTATTTTTTACATCTAAAATCGTGAATATCTGTTTTTACAAGTATTTTTTATTAGATTTTTATAATATGGCTTTGATCCTTCTTCCTTCATTCCTCAAGTAAACCAAGGTACACCAAAACCTGATGCCAGTTGTTAATTACTCCCTGTAGTGATCTGTGTTGATAAAACCTGACCTCAAAGAATTTCTCACAATGAGATGTAAACCTTTTTGTCCTCAGCCAATTTTGACAGGTGAGATATCTCTAATCACCCTTGAGAATACAAAGAGTTAGTCAGTCCTGAATTTCTTAAGCTTTAAGTCCTTAGAATTGAGACTTTCATGTAACAGATTACTAATAATTCTTGATCTTCCTACTTTTCCTTTCAAACTCTCTGGTCACTTACAGTTTTTATAAAAATATGAAATTTGATCTTAGCATGCAATTTAACTTTTGCTTCAAACATTTCAATAGCACGAGTTTGATCAATTAATTGGCTTAAATTGGATTGATGGATTAAAAGGGTGTGGTTTGGGAAATATGAATATAGGTTCTTTACTATAAGTAGGCATTATTTACTATAAGTAGGTGTATGAAAAAACACCACCATCAATAAATTGGAATGCCATGAACCAATTTTTTACTTATGCTTATGAAGGTATGTGAATGATAATTTTTATTTATAAAAATTCAGGACACATCTGACACATAAACTATTCTGTGTTTTTGACATGCATACTTTAAAAGTATGTGCCTTTGATTCAAAACACAAACACCATTGAAGCTGTGCTAAAGTACTTGCAGGCCCTAAAGTTAAATTCTAATCTGTTAATCGTTTAAATTAGAGCTCTAATATTTTGATAATGTTCTTGTAAAGTGTCATATACTATTGAAAGCAATATTTATTATATGAGAAAATACTGACTTGTAAAAGTTAGGTTGAAAGGATTCCCTTTTTAAACAGATGATTATTCTTCTGGGGCTTTATTTGTTTTTGGAGATGAGAAATAATAATTGAAATTAAGTCTTCTAGTAAACATGATAAATTAAACCCATTCACTCAGTGGTATTTCCCCCTGAAACCTCACTAACATGGCAGGAAAGGCAGTTTTAAAAGCATAAAAATAACGAGGGGAGATGACAGCAGACAAAGGAAGCTAGAACCCAGATGTGTGAAAACAGCCAATGAGGGGAAATGGAATCTTCGGTCATGGTGGAAAAGATGAGCTAACTTAGCCTACTTTTCCCTCCACCACCCTGTGTGACCAGCCCTTCTTCTTTCACCCCACAATGACTGAGTGACCAACTGACCCCTGCCATTGAATAGATTCTGATGCACAGCAACTCTATAACACAGTAGCCCGTAAATTCTTATAGGGACAGACAACCTCGCTTTGCTCTTAGTGGAGTGGTTGGTGGACTTGAAATTCTGACCTTGTAATTAGCAGCTCAGTGTGTAGCCCATTGGGCGACCAGGATTCTTGAAGGATAGAGCAGCAATTTCTAGTGTGTGTCTGTTAGACTGCATTCCAGGCAAAACTGAGATAGGGTGAACATATTAATATACAGGCACCCACCCTCCCAGTGTTGTGATGATGCCATTTATTGAGTACTTATGCTATTCTCAAACTCATTACCGTTGAGTCAATTCCAATGCATAGCGACCCTATAGGACAGTGCAGAATTTCTCCTGTGGGTTTCCAATACTGTAATGCTTTTTAAAAAAAAAATCATTTTATTGGGGG